CCCGCAGCTGGCCCGTGCCAGCTGACTCCGGCTACATGCCTGTTCAATTGCAGTGTAGGCTTCTGGGCCCGGGTGAGCTCTGGGCCTGTCCCAGTCACAGAGCCTGTGTGCCAGCCTGAGCCCGGAAGTCTGCGCTGCAGTTCAACAGATGAGTCAGCTGGCAGGGGCCAGCCATGGGTGTCTAGTGTGGACATACCCTTAGCGGGCCCTGAGAACAAACAATCCCCACCATAATAAGGTGATAGAGAGGGGAAACCGAGGCCCACATTGGGGTCAAATATTACAGGACATTCCCACTTCGTCCCAGGGACCTCACCATGGCCCCCTGTCCAGCGAGAGGCCAGCCCCTCATTCAGCCAGTGGTGCCAGCGGGGACAGACTGGTAGCCCCTCAGCATACCCCATGGATGAGCTCTGAGCTCTCATCGTCGCAGCACAGACCCAGGCTTTGCTGTGGTCACAGAGTGCCCTGTGGCCTGCAGAGGGAGCAGGAGCAAGGAGTGGGAGCCCACAGCCAAGCGCTGCGCTGGCCTTGCGGGGGACCCTGGGAATATCAGTTCCTCTGCCTGAGGGAGGAACTGGGCCCCAGTCAAGCGGGGAGGGCAGCAGGGGCGACCCTCCACCCCCAGCCTGGATGCCAGCCCCACCCACACCCAGGCAAGGGCAGGTGGGTTCTGGTCACGGTATTGGCCCGCCTCCCCTCGAGTACAGCCCTTGAGGGTGGTGGTACCCAAGGGGAGAGCCCCTGCCCACAGGGCCTTCTCCGTTTGTGGCCAGGGAGGGGAACGAGAGGAGCCCCATTTGCCGGAGGGGGAGTGGGATGGGAGCAGGTCACGGGGTCACTATCACTGTGACCTTGAACCCCTCTCACGCCCAAGATCTGCAAATACCACTCAAGCGTGACCCAAGCCCAACTGTCCCAGTGCCCCCCCACCCCACTAGATAACCACTCCCATTCCACAGCCAGGAATAGAACCCGGGAGTCCTGACGCCCATCCTCCCTGGCTATAACTGACAGCAATGAGCACAAAGTGATGGTTGTGCTATAGGGAGAATTGATAAAGGGGGACTAGTCACCCCTGGGGGTGTCCCGCTGGGCTCTGGTCTCAGCCCAGTGCTGGGCAATGGCTGTATTGATGAGCTGGAAGGAAACATAGGCCCATTGCTGGTGAAGCATACAGGTGTAGAAGTGATGAGTAACGCCGGGGACACACAGTACTGCAGGGCGAGCTGCATCGTTGGTACAGTGCGTGCATCCAAACAGCATGCACCTCAACATGGGCAAGGGCAAAGGAACCAAGAGGAGGGGTTGCGTGCCGGATGTGGGGCCTGTGTCCTGGAGAGCAGAGACGCCGGAAAGAATGGCAAGGTCCCATTGGAATTGAACTGCCCAAGGCTCCCAGCGTGGGGCTGTGGCTAAGAGGGTGAGTGCGTGGCTGGCTGGATCAGCAGGGGGAGGGGATCATGTTCGTGAGACTGGTACTGGGTACGGTGTATATTCATAGTTTCATGCAGTTTAAGGCCAGATGGGCTCATCTGCTCTGATCTTCATGGCCCAGGTGTTACACTGCACGCAGACACCCCTGGACCGAGCTCAGGGACTTCAGTCAGATGAAAGCATTTCAGTCCTCAAGGCACTGATTTCTGTGTGTCAGGCAGAGAGGCGAGACCGAAGGCGATGGCAGGGAATTGATCAGGTGCGATCTGCCAAACTCTATTCCAGCCAGATAACCCCTGCCTCAGGCTGTAGAAGAGGGTGAAACCCCCCAAAGTCCCTACCAGTCTGATCTGGTGGGAAATTCCCACCGGATCGCAAATCAGGTGACCCACATATGAGAGCGAGCTAGCAGCCAGGCAGCTAGACAGAGGATGTCCTCACTGCAAACAGGACAGGGACAAGTGGGGCGGGGTTGGAGAAGAGCTACAAGAAGGGAGGGCTGGGAACCTGCCGGGCAGGTAGAGGCTGAAGGATCTCAGTGAACTCAGTGTCTCCACGCCTCTGAGTACCTGCCCGGGGAGGAGATTTCAGAGAGTAGGGGGCTCTGTGCTCCCCCAGCAAAGGCAGAGCCTGGCTGGAGCTGAAGCTGGATAATCCTGGACTAGAAATAAGAGGTCAGTGTTTACCAGGGAGCGGAATTGACAGAACAACTGGCCTGGAACATGGGGGATTCTGCATCCCTGGCAGTCAGTACATCAGGACCACATGTATTTGCTGTAGCTCGGTCAGAGGTCAGTAGGCAGGGCTCACTGGTTGGGTTTGCCCAACCTGGGTGATGCAGACACCAGACTGGGCCCCTTCTGGCCTATTAACTAAAGACACTCACAGGCCATGTCTAAGACTTTGGTCCATGCACGTTACACAAGGCGTACAACTGCTAAAGTTTGTATATCGCTCGGGCGTGTGTGTACTTGGCTGCTTGTGTTGGTGCTGTATACCCCCCCAGGAGTGCGTGTGTCGCTGCACAGTGTGGTGCACCACGGGCAGGTATTCCAATATCCTTTTGGGAAATTTTCACAATGTATTGTGGGACTAGTACGACTTGCCCAGGGATCTGGGAACTAGGGGGTCAAGTTCCCAGCTTGCAGCTTTCTCCATCCCATAATGCCATCCATATCTCATCATTTTCGTCTTTTTTTTTTAAATCTCCAAACCCTTTTGTCACTCTTCTGTCTCTGCCGTCCGTGAGAGAAGCACGGAGCCTGCAGCGCTCTGCACTGTTCTCATGAACATTGCAAACCCAGGACGTGCAGTTCTGTATGGGCAGACCTGCAGGAAGAACCGCACCAATGGGGGACATGAGATTTCTTTGAGGACACTGCTGAGGGACAGCGACAAACAGTTCAGGATTGTCTGTGGCATTCACACCGGAGCATGGCTGCCAGGCCCGAGAAATGAGCACTGACTGGTGGCATCGCATCGTAATGCAGGTTGGGACGACGAGCAGTGGCTGCAGAACTTTCAGAGGTGAAAGGCCACGTTCCTGGATCTACGTGCTGAACTTGCCCCAGCCCTCCAGTGCAGGGACACCAGAATGAGGGCTGCACTGACAATGGAGAAGTGTGTGGAGATCACACTCTGGACGCTTGCAATGCAGGATTGCTGCCGGTCAGCAGGAATCATTCTGGAGTTGGAAAATCCACTATGGGGGTGTGATGGGCCTCAGGGTCCTGCCACACCCATCCCAGAAAAGGAGCAGTAGAGGAGTCCTCCAAGCAAGGTACCAGTTTAAAGACTGCAGACGCACCCAACCAGGAAAGGAGGTGGGTGCCGCGCCATTACGTGGGGCCATTGTCATGCAGTGTGTAGGGCTGTTACTTGTCTCCTGCTGCGCAGGACTGTGGCTCTCAGCAGTGTGCAGGACACAGAGGATGGATTTACAGCAATGCGGTTCCCAAACTGCGGTGGGGCGATAAACAACATGCACATCCCTATTTGGGCAGCAGCCTGCCGCGTCACAGAGGACAGCAACAGAAAGGGCTTTTTTATGATGGTGCAAGTGTTGGGTGGATCACCAGGGATGCTTCACTGACATCAGTGTAGGCTGGTCAGGGATGGTGCATGACGCGTATGTCTTTAAGAACACAGGACTGTGCAGAAAGCTGCGAGCAGGGACTTTCTTTCCTGACTGGCAGATTACCGTTGGCGATCTTGAAATGCCAATAGTGATCCTGGGGGACCAGCCTGTAGGAGAGAGAGAGAGAGAGACTGAAGTCCTGGGCCTGGTGTAAGATTTTGAGGCCTGAACCGGAGGCTGAGTCAAAGTTAGGCCCTGTGTTAAAGTAGCTGTTTATAAGTTTACTGTATGACTATCGCAAAAATATTGCTAGTGTTGTTAAAATACAGGCCCCCAGGAGACGTGACAGATACGGGGTATGTGTGAAAACACACTCCAGACGATCCTGAGCTAACACCAGGCAGGATGTTTTGCCCCAGGCACCTGGCTCATGCTACAAGAGGAGGTAGCAAGCAGATGGCATGAACTAGGGAGAGTTGTTTCTCAGTCTGTAAATATTGGGGTGCCTCACTTTATCTCTTTGTGTGGCCTGGGGGCCAGCAGAAATTCCTGCGACTCACTGAATCGCTCCTTGCCACAGGGCACTCGTGTTAGCACACCTGTAGCTCCTATGGGGAGCTAGGATTGTGTCTTGAGGGTACTAAACCCGGCCGAGTGCCTTTGTCATAGAGCAGTGCCGGCAGTCGTTCTTGAATAACACCGAGGTCTGTGGAATTAGCAAGGGGCAGTTTATGCTTGCATGGAGAACACTGGCTTTTTTAAGGCAAAGACATGGAGCAGCTGTAACAACTCAAAGCAGCCCTGGACTGTGTCACCGCAGCAACGACACTTCAGCCGTCTGCATTTGACAACACAGCCTAGCTCTGGCTCATGAAGCCATACAGCGGCCACATCGACAGCACCAAGGAATGGTTCAACTTCTTCCGGCTCAGCAGTTGCAGAATGACAGCTGAATGTGCTTTTGGTAGACAGACAGGGCACTGACATTGTTTACTCAGTAAGTTGGATCTCAGTGCAAAAAATATCCCCATGGGTTACAGCTGCCGGCTGTGTCCTGTGAGGTAAAGGGGGCAAGGGTGAAGCTTGAACAGCCAGACGCAAGGGCCAGTACAAGAGCCCAGCATGGAGCTGTGCAGTTGAGGGAGGCTTTTAAAAAGCACTGTAACGGTCGGCCACAGCAGCGTTCTCTGTGGAGCGTTCTCGGGCCTGCCGCTTTGAGTGCTGCCAGGACCTGCGTCGTGCTTGCTGGACACGTAGAGATGTGGCTAGGTGCCTTCCTGGAGCTGTGACCTCGGGGGCGCTTGCTGCATGTGCCCAAGTCCTGCTTGCTTTGAGGGCCGCTCTGCATTCTGCAATACGTGTCATGAACGAATAAAGATAACTTGATCCTCCAAAATTAGAACTTTATCGAATGGGTAAAAAGCAGTGCAGAAAATCAATGGGCAAAGAAACCCGCAGGCCATGTTATACTCATTTTTAACATAACTTAATGGGGTGAAAATGTAAAATTAGGAAAGGAAGTAAACATTATTGTCCATTTGAGTGCACAAATGCTGCCCGTAGTGGGTCCACATAGAGCAGCTGGGGCTCTCGCAGGTTAGCAGCTGTGACGCTGTGGTTTTGGAGTAGTAGGGGTAAGGATGCGGCCTGTGGTGCCCCATGGTATGGTGAGGGGTGTAGGGAGCAGTGATTATGGAGGTCTCCAAGGACTGCAAAGGGTGGAGAGTCTGGGATTGTTGGACCTGTAGGTCCGCCAGGATCTGCAGTGTTTGGTTTGCTACCTACCTGAGAAGTCCCATTATGTCGTGGGGCAGCTCTCTCCCCTTGTCTTGCTGGCACTCCTGGGCCCTTTTTCTGTCTGCTCTCTCCTTCTCCAGGCTGTCTGCCAAGTGGGCCATCCAGGGCCTTTGTTCACAGTCCAAGGCAGCAGTAGCTGCAGGGTCTCAGTGAATGTGCCCTCGCTAGTTCTCTTCTTCCTTTGCCTCAAGGATGCAATGGCAGCAGCTGTGATGAAAACATTCACTGTACCCCTGGATTTACAGTCACGAGGGAACTATACGTTTCCAACCTCCCTTCTCTTACTCCCATAAACCCTTTTAACAAGACATGCCTATTGACACTTCAGCTTTGGAGCGCCTCGGCACAGCACTGCTCTCCAGCCCCAGCTGTGGTCCAGGGTGGGGGAGGATTTTCTCTGGCAGATGATGTAAAATTTTGGTCCCTATTCCACAGGTATGAGTACAGGGCAACGGCACTGAATATTGGCACTGTTTTCCACAGGAGGTGGTGAGTTTAGCTGATCTCTCACTCCTGAGGGTCACAAAGCACAGCTGCTGCTGGTGTCCTGAAGCCACCAGGCCCGTATGCCAATAGCCTGTGTACTGCGATGGTGCCAGTCGAACGCATTGCAGAGTGGCATGGGATAGTGTCCTACTGTGGGGGAAGAAATAAGGCAGCCCTCTCTACAAACCTTTGGGAGAGGATTGCAGAGAATCTGCATGAACCTTTCCTGGAGATCTCTCAGGAGGATCCAAGGGACATAAAGCGTTCCTCATGCCCCCGCCTCCAACCCAACAGGAGAATGAAAAGCAGATGCCAGCCCTATCTCTGTTTGTTGCACCACTACCTCTTCTTGTAAGAGTCAAACAAGGAAACATCGATACATGTGTCTGGTTAACTTGGGGAAGGGCCAGGTACTATATTTAAATTTAAACACTGTAAGGGAAAATGCATGCACGTGCTTCTCTGCGTTCCCCTCCCCTCATCCGTGCTTGACTGGCGGGACTGGCTGACTGTGGTCCTGGCTTGCAGCTTGGCTGGAGTCCTCCGCCACGTCTCCCCCTCCTCCTTGCTCTTCTCTGTAGTGGTCTCTGTCTCGGTCTCCACCATGGTTCCCTACAGAAATGGCGGGGGGCAGCACTAGATCGACTGTTGGCCTCCCTGGTCTTGTGGTATCCCTGGCGAAATTCCTTTGCTTTCATGTTGCAGTGCGGCTGATCCCTGTCATATCCCTGTGCAATCTGGGTGTAGATGTCCATGTTTCTACAGCTGGTCCATAGCTGTGTATGCACAGTCTCTTCTCCCCACGGGCCCAAGAGATCCACTATCTCCTGTCTGCTCCAGGCAGGAGTGTGGAGCTGGTGTAATTCACCTCTGGCATGGCTCGTTGTGCAGCTGCATGTAACAATGGTGATCTGAGAAGTGTGCTTGCCAAACTGGGCTATCAGGAAAAGGCATTTCAAAACTGGGGCGATGGCTTCCGCTGTCTGTGAGCCCATGTCCTGGGCAGTAGAGTTCACAGTTGTGAGCAGGGCAGTCACTGTCCCAGGGAATTGGACATGGTGGGACAGCTGCTAGAGGACTGTTGGATTCAACATGTGGCATGTAGCGTGTATGTTTGCACTGCATCAGCCTCAGCAGGTCTGCTCCATGCTGTTTGGGGATGTGGGTTGGCTGCTCCCCATAATGGGGGGCACACGGCAGGGGACACATTGGACTGTAGATGCACGCACAAATGGGGTTGACATAAGGCATCTTCTGTCAGCCTAAACTTCGTAGTGTAGACCAGGCCTCAGAGGGCATGTGCATTTCCTCACTCCACCCCAGCAATCCGTAGCTACGGGATGCCTTCCGCCCAGCCTCAGTGCCCGTATTCCCCAGACAAGGAGAGGTTACAAGCCAGCTGATCTCTACCCACAGGTTTTATGATAGTCTCTAAATCCCAGCTCTGTCTTTGGGCCTTTCCCATGGGTCCCTGGCGCTGCACTCCCAGCATGGCCATATACTTGCTGTGTTGTCACACCTTACAGCAGTGCCCATATGGTGACTATATCGAGCTCCTGGCGTGAGCCCTGCAGCTGGACTGGGAGAACCAGCTTTCTACCCACTAGCTCTGCTCTCCCCCCAGCACTGGGCCAGTGTCACGACTTATCAGCCAGCCCAGTCCATAGATGCTATGTCTGCTCTGTGCAGGGATGGCAATGCCAGGACACACACCATTACCCCTGTGTGGTGTTGCAGCCACACTAGGACTGGCCTCTCTTTACCAGACAGGGAGGGTAAAAGCTCTGCAGTCTGTGGGCAGAGGTTTCCAACTCCCTAGAGACCCTCCTGCAGCCTTCCTCACCCTGTCATTGCTCCCTAGAGTATGAGGGGGCTGCAGTGCATTGTGGGAGCTGGGGGAACTGGATGACAGCTGCAGTGCATTTCAGGGACTCGCAGGGGGTGAGAACTGCAGTGCATTGTGGGAGCTGAGGGGGTTGGGTGAGGGCTGCAGCAGTGCATTGTGGGGAGGGTTGAGGCTGCAGTGCATTGTGGGAATTGGGGGCTGGGTAAAAGCTGCAGTGCATTGTGGGGAGGCTTAGGGGGCTGGCTTGGCAGTGCAGTGGGGGGACCGCTGGGGGGGAGGTGAGGGCTGCGGTGCATTGTGGGAAGCGGGGGCTGGGTGAGGGCTGCAGAGCATTGTGGGGGCTGGGGGCTCTAGTCCCTGCTATTGCTGCTTGCGGAGCATCCTGGTGCTGGTGAGCTGGGCGGGACCCGCCGCGGGCTGCAGCTCGGGGCTGGCCGGGGCGGGGGTTGACCTGCGCGCGGGGCTGGAGCTCAGGGCTGGACCCACCCAAGACACAAGCTGATGCTCGGGGCTGTCGGTGGGTCCCTCCT